GAAAATTTTACTATAGAAAGCTTCGAATGGGCACACACAGCCGTGATGTGGATGTTTTCTTAAATCCAGAAGTAGGATTAACTAAGGCTGTAGAAGAGTGTGTTCGTAATTGGCGTCAGAGCAGCACCACGTTGAAGCTCTTATAGTACTGGTTTATATAATGTATTTAGATCAGGGGTTGATCAAGGTGTCACTCGAGAAGCTCGGTCACATACAGAACTTCGGGAACCTCCTCGGGTGAACGTCAAATAGGAAACATCACGACGTCAGTTTGTTTAGACTTGGCCTTGAATGTTGTGTGAACAGTGTGTGTGCGTGTGTAGTTATCCGCCAAACCCAGGTTGCTTACCCCTCCATACATCAACCTGCACTTGTCAGCTAGACAGGTGCGTCACATCAACCTGCACTTGTCAGCTAGACAGGTGCGTCACAACAACCTGCACTTGCTAGCTAGACAGATAAGTTACGTGAATTAAAAGAGGGAGTTGTGAATAAACAAACGAAATAACGTAGTTGGATATGAATCTATGTCAAGTCTTTGTCTTTATCTTGTTGTTTTACAAAGATTTATAAATAACAGATTTTTCCAATGTGTTCCAGTACTTGCAAAACGCTCGGCAGAATTTTTGTGTCGTGTGTCATGGCATTTTGATTGAGAGAGAACGGAATTGTTGTCAGGCGGGGAAGTTGACAGAGTGAGGGATTAACTTGTAAATTTATCGTGAAAGACAATAGTGGGGTTAAGAAAGTGAACAGGGATAGATGGATGGTGCTGAACTGAATTGATGGGACGTTACGAGGCAGACGAGGATTTGGAATTGGGGCGGGGTGGGGCATAGGCTACACACTCAGTAGATGCACCAGTTTTTGCGGGTGTGTGCTCATTATACCGATGAGTGTCGTCGTGAAAGCAATAACCTGAGTATATATAAAGTCAAGAGGATGCTGTTCTCTATCTGGCAGATCGGTAGCACCGTGAGACTTTCGCCTCCTGGCCACTACCGACCCTCTGTGTGTACGTTATCTGTAGTAGGTGATGGCCCTCGTCCTGTAGTGTACAAATTTACTTATTTATGAGGCTAATATCAAGGGTTCTAACATGTTACGACATTAATTTCGCTGTCCACAGACACACCATACACCCTGTAAACGTCTTCTTTACATACCCGGTACATACAGGTTCCCAAATTTTACCATGTCAACTTTGAATCTCTGGCATAATCCCCGAACATGACTGTATGGCGTAGTATGTAGGATTTCTTTGAGAAACAGAATGCATTTGTCTAAAAAACATTAAAAGGCATTCAACTAGTTAAAGCCATTTTCGCTCTAAGTACTGTATATTACAGAATGGCTGTTGTTCCGTACCACGTTATAAAAATGAAAAACGGAAAATTTTTACTTCCAGTATTTTCATGTGGTAGTACTTGAATAAGCTGGAGAAGATGTTTACATATGACACAGCTTAGAATATGAAACAGTAAGATCGTAGGCTGGTAAAGAGAAGAGGAGGAGGGATTAACAGTAAGGGCAACTTCTGGGCACCATTCATACAAATACTTACGGTTTACTCCACCTTGCTTGGCTCCTCCCTGCTCCACCCAGCCCCGCCTCTCGACCACACCCCTTTTCCTGCTGAAGCCATTGTATCTGGTGAGAGAGAAAGGATGATTAGGAAGGTGACTGTCAGATTGGCTTTGTGATGTCAGTCCTGGGGCATCGATATGGAGTATATTGTAAATAATATTTCCAAACTACCTTTTCCTATATCGTGACACAGTCGTTCTAAGTTATTGCGGCTATCTTCTGGCTGTCACTCAGGGTACAATTATTGTTATTAGTGGCTTGATTGTACACTCACAAACAAAAGTCCTTTCGCTACACCTGCCTTTTCATAAACCCAGAGATTAGGAGTAGTCTCCTAATCTCTGGGCTCATAAAGAGGCAGGGGTAAGGCGACAGGACTTTTGTTAGCGAGCCTACTTACTAGATCAGCGTTGTGAGTACCGATAATACGTCATATCAAAGTTAAAGATATAAAATCACCCATCCTTAGCCATACCAAGGAGTCACCGGACGCCTTCCTTAACCCGTTTCTGTGATATTTATCAACAAATCGGACCTCCCAGTTCACTTACCTTTCGCAGTTTGAAATAATGCATTTCCTGTGTGCGTGTGTTGGTTCGTTTGGTGTTCATTCAAAGGACTGACTGCCCCCACAGACATCTGTAATATATCTTTCCCCTTTTCCACTTTCACCACTAACCCACCCCCTGTAGTCTTTCTATCTTTGCTACAGTTATACCCACTTTCCAAACAACCGTTTTGTTTGGTGGTGTATTATTCCCCCTTCGGTATCTCTTACCTCTCGACCGCTCCCCTCTTTGGGTGGCTCACGGTGTCACATCTGGTTTACCCTTCCACACCATGCTTGGAGTGCCTCTCGCCTCCATGAATCAATTGTAGCATCACTTGGCGGTGTGCTCTCCACCCGACTGGTTTTGTGATGCGCAACTGGCTCACCCACCTGTTACTGCTGTAAGTGCTGTAACTACTACTGTAAGTGCTATAACTACTGCTGTTTAATTTAAAAGTTCCTGTTATCGATACAACTTGTAGCTATTGCCTTTGGGGCTTCTGTACTTGGTCCTTTTAGGGCTACAACGGCAGTCTTCATCTTTTTGGCTGTTACTGATTGCATTCATTGTCTGTAACTGTCCTTACAGCCCCTCTATTACTGTTTGTTATTGCTGTTAATTATTATTGTTACCATAGTTCCATTAGCTGTCTTCCCTTGCTGCATCTTCCTCTATTGATGTCTCCTGCCGGTGGTCACCGTGATGTCTTGAAAGCGATATCATTGAGTGCTCAAACATGATTATCTAGATAAAAATATATTAAAGATTTGATCAAGGTGATAGTAGTGTAGCTGGTACGTGATTTAATCTTGATCATTATTAGTAGCGGCACTCGAGATTGTGTCACACGATATCCTGGCTGGTGTGTGTATGCCGTATCATCTGTCATTTTCCCCTCGGGAGTATTGCATCTCAATTATTGGCGTGGGAACCTCCCCTACCCAACTTTTTGACTTGTTCTGCGTGGGCTGTCGGAGGAGTGGGCAGTAGGGTGGTATTAGCGTGTGTCGGCCAGTGTTGAGGATGTTGGGTGGTGGTTGTGGCCACCATACGGGCAAGAGCTCTCATGGTAAGTGTGGTGGGGAGTGAACGCTCATCTGCGGGCCTCTCCCGCATCTCTCACCATCGCCGAACTTTTGCTTTCAATTATTTTTTCTTTTGGGTGTAACCTTATGCCCTAAATTAGCAGTGTCGGTGTTAATAGTCTGAAGCTGAGTCTTACTGACGGTATACACACTACGTACCTATATTATTCATGAATGCACGTGCACTTCAGACAGTTACTTGCACATGATATTTATATTGTGCGGGCAATCAGGGTTAGAGAGAGAGAGAGAGAGAGAGTGTGTGTGTGTGTGTGTGTGTGTGTGTGTGTGTGTGTGTGTGTGTGTGTGTGTGTGTGTTGTGCGGCCTCTCCTTGACTGTTAAGTATTATGCGCCTATTGTAGCCACACCTCACCCTTCTAGCATTGTTTCTTCTTTGAGTTATAGACTTAACGTTTTAGCAACTATTGTCATAATAATTTCTCACTTTTGGGAATGTATTAGTTGGTTAGGTGCAGATATTGGAGATAGCTGAGTTAGGAAATATGAAATATCTTACTCATTTTCAGGCGAGTCAGTTGTGTTTTCCAGACATTTGCGTTTCAATTGAGAGGCATTGATTTTTTCTCTCCACATGACCTACGCGGACTAGCGCGCGCCGTGCCCAGATTGTACAGTATAGTGAAGTAACCATGCAGAACAGCGGCCAGACCCTCAAACATGGTGGATAGCACATGTGACTCTCAACCGTGTGTTCCCCGCTCTTTGCCCTCCTGCCCCTCTTCCCTCTCACTTAGTCACTCATAGGCAACCTGTACGTGGAGTTCACGACTTGGAGCTGGTTTCTACCCCCGAAGTTTGCTCCTTGGCCTGGCCATCTTCAGAGCTGTGCGATGCAAGAATTGTTGGCTAGGTGAAGGTTTTACATTGTGTACCTCAGAGCTGAGTTTGTTAGAAATCATTGTTGGTAGCAAATGTTTCCTGAGATACTTGTGTGTTGGGGTCTCGTTGATGCCACAGGTGCCCCTGGGGACGGGAGGGAAGGGCGTCAGTGAGAGGCGTTCTGAGTGCACATTCGTCGTTGGATATTAACTTTGCTAATCAAAAGGCTACTTCTCGCATTACCTCGACATGCTAAAGACTTGCAACCCCAAAATCATCCTATGGTATATGGAAAATTTCCTTAAACTTTAAGCTTGTTGTTACTAATTGTCATATAAACAGTGATTAGGTCAAGGTGCCTCCTATCGCTTACAGACTAACATTACTTCCGTGAGGTCTATTATAGCCTCATTCCTCTTCCTTTCTATTTCTTGCTAGTGACACCGTAACTTTTGGTGGCAGTTATAACAGTTAACTGTGCTGCTGGTACATGGCGTTGCTATGTTTCTAATGTTCTCTGCTAGCGAAAAGAACAAATAAAGAGTAATACCTGTACCAGTGTAAAAGTAAAGCATAGATACTTTATACCTTTACAATATGCTGGCTTTGTGCTGATTTCTTTTTATATTCACATTTATCAGTGAATAAGTTGGATAGGCAATTAATTTGTCTCTGTCTACCGACGTGAAGTATATGTGTGTGTGTGTGTGATTATATAGGTCACATGAAAAAAAAAATTATATATATATATATATATATATATATATATATATATATATATATATATATATATATATATATATATATATATATATATATATATATATATATATATATATATATATATATATATATTAGTTTAATGCAATTACCTTTAAAATTTAAGAAATTCTTGTTGGGAGGTGTATTAATATTGTTTGTTTTTGTATCACACAGGTGCACGGACGAGTATGTGGGCGAGTATTGCCAGTACCTGAACCCGTGTCGGAATGGCCCGGGCCCGCGCTGCCAGAACGGCGGCACCTGCAACGTGATCCTCTCCATTTCCGGCCCCAAATTCAACTGCAGCTGTCCAGTGGGTTATCAGGCCTCTCTGTGTGAGATCGCTGTAGCCAACGCCTGCGACTCAGACCCTTGTATGAATGGTGCCACCTGCCAGCTGCTTACCCTCGACACCTACCGATGTCAGTGTCCTTCTGGGTACCGCGGCGATCAGTGTCAGAAGGTGGATTACTGTGCCTCCAAGCCCTGTCGCAACGGTGCTACCTGTCACTCCCCGGGAAACACCTTTACTTGTACCTGCCCACCGGGCTTCACCGGTACCACCTGTACTTCAGATGTTAACGAATGCCTTTCCCGTCCCTGCAGACATGGCACCTGCAGCAATACCTTTGGGTCGTACACGTGAGTACTAAACACTGTCTTCATTATTTTGGCAAAAGTAAGTGAATATACTTTACAACCCTGCCTTCGCTCATCTTGCTACTGTACAAGCAATCAGCAAACATACTGTAGTTGTCTTCATTTTAATGCTGTAGGGCGAGCTGGAAATAGTTACAATGAGTACTGATTAATGTGGAATTTGATAGTATACACAATGATAACTTAATCCCTCATGTACAATATATATGGTTATCTCTGTATAACTTTAAAGTATGAGACGTAATTCTAAAGCTCTCCTGGTGAAGCTGTGGTGCCGGTAATTATATATATATATATATATATATATATATATATATATATATATATATATATATATATATATATATATATATATATATATATATATATATATAATTTGCCCCGCGAGGGGGCTAGTTTATTGGGCACCCCCTTGCATCCTGTGCAAGGCGATATGCTTAGTGAGTATGGGGGCAGTCATTGACAGTGTGGGTCAGCGCAGGTCACATCCTGGCCCACGTTACCAACCTGCGCCATCATCACCGCCACTTACTCTCTAGGTAACTTTTAGAGTTACATTCATGATCTTCTTGTTACCAGCTGCTCTTTATAAAGAAATTAATGTGAATCAAAACTTGTGAGTCCTACTTGACTGTGGTTGTTGAGGGTGTGTGATGATAGCGGGTGTGAGGTAGAGTACCAGCTCAGCATGGCCTCATGCTTCATCGTCAGTAAGCTCTGCTTACCCCCAGCTGCCCTTCCCACATTCAGACTCTCCTCCTCCTCTCACTCGCCGTCACATGTCCAGTGATCAACCCAACGTGAGGTGTATGTGAGAAAGTCATTATTTACCTGCATATTACCGGTTCCGTGAATTATATACTGGAAAAAGTAACGTGACAATAAAAGTGGCCATCGTTACACAAATAAGCCTTGCGACAGAATATTGTGTGAATATTAACCACGAAAGGTGTGTCGTAGTGACTGCGAGTGGGAGCTTGCGTTGGCTTGGTGTAGTGTAGGGGAGCAGCAGCAGCAACAACACCTGCCACGCGTCTCATCGCATACACTATGATCGTTGACCTTGTTATTACGCTCCTTTCAACTTTCACAACATCGTTAATGTGTATGTAAGTCATCAACACAGGTTCGGTTTGCACGTACCATTCATATATTACTGTGTGTTAGCTGTTTCAACTGTAATGAACAAGCCGAGCTTCACACTCAGTCATTAAAAAAATCTGACATTCATTCGTTATGAAAGCCACTTCTCCTTCAGTGTCGTGTTGCAGTGAAAATAGTTATTTAGCCTGGACGTTCATGGTACATAGTTTCTTAATGGCATGGTGACTACTAAGAAAAACTTATGATGGAAGTAATTAGTTTGTAACAATTTGCAAGAATACGCGGAAGGATGAACTGTGGAAAGGTTTAGTTATACCGTGTATAGAATGGAAAAAGAGTGAGTTAGGTTAGGGGAGTAACTATACCAGTGTGGTTGTCTCACACTGATGTTCCACTGGTCCAGCCATGTAATATCTAACCAACTCCCCAACCTGCACCGTGATATGGAGATACGCTGACAAAATGTTCAAAAGTCCGTGTAACAGTAGACATTAATGTGGGGTAAAGTGTTTCACTTTGATGATAGTAATATAATACTCATGCAGGGTGAACCTGTCTTTAACGGTTATTACTATATCTCAGGGTACTGATATGTGCTGTGATGTCTTCTCTATTGAAATAATAAAACTTTACTAGCTATAGGTATGTGTTTATTGCAGATGCACATGTGAGGTGGGGTACACGGGCGTCAACTGTGAGAGTCGCTACGTGCCATGCAAGCCCTCGCCCTGCAACAACGGTGGCACCTGCAATGCCATGGACTCCCTCTCCTACGAGTGTCGATGTCCCGAAGGTAACTACCACGTCTACAGTACTACGCTTCCACCACTTTACATACCCCATACTTCTTCATGCATGAGTACATAAGCTGCAAGGTTGTCTCGGTACGGTACTGTAAGTCAGGATTATTACATCGGCCTGTTTGCTTGTTCCCATTATATCGGTGTAAATATAAAACTGCTTTAGAAATGTATGAAATGTTTGTAATTCTTATGTAAATAGAATGGCAAATCACAGAAGTTAGGTGATTATTGGCATCCAAACAGGCCGTGTAAGGCTTTATTGTAAGTTACCATTCAAGAGTGAACCACTGCCAATAATGTCCACCTGTATTGTTAGACCTCTGAGTTAGTTAATATTGTTAATTGTACATATTTGACAGATACACTGTCGTGGGTGTACAGTAGATAGTTGACAGGTACATTGTCGTGAGTGTGGATAGTTGAACAGGCACACTGTCATGGGTGTTGATAGTTAACAGGTACACTGTTGTGGGTGTAGATAGTTGACAGGTATACTGTCGTGGGTGTAGATAGTTGACAGGTATACTGTCGGGTGTCGATAGTTGATAGGTATACTGTCATGGGTGTGGATAGTTGACAGGTACACTGTCTTGGGTGTGGATAGTTGAGATACACTGCCGTGGGTGTGGATAGTTAACAGGTACACTGTTGTGGGTGTAGATAGTTGACAGGTATACTGTCGTGGGTGTAGATAGTTGACAGGTATACTGTCGGGTGTCGATAGTTGATAGGTATACTGTCATGGGTGTGGATAGTTGACAGGTACACTGTCTTGGGTGTGGATAGTTGAGATACACTGCCGTAGGTGTGGATAGTTGACAGGTACACTGTCATGGGTGTTGATAGTTAACAGGTACACTGTTGAGGGTGTAGATAGTTGACAGGTATACTGTCGTGGGTGTAGATAGTTGACAGGTATACTGTCGGGTGTCGATAGTTGATAGGTATACTGTCGTGGGTGTGGATAGTTGACAGGTACACTGTCTTGGGTGTGGATAGTTGACAGGTACATTGCCGTGGGTGTGGATAGTTGACAGTTACACTCGTGGATGTAGTTAATTGACAGGTACACTGTCAAAGGTTGAGGTGTTTGATAGTTATACTGTCAGGGTTGTAAATGGGAAGAGGGGCAGAGTGCCGTTATATGACAACTAGGTCCCGGGTACCATCATCGCCGTGGTGGGAATGTAGCACTGGGAGTAGTGATTCTGCCCATTGATGCCTTCACCTGCTTTAGGGAGTGGCGGGGATCAACTAGAAGAGTGGAATTGCTGGTTTAGTGACACTAGGAATGTGGTTGTATTTGATGCTCTTGGCACTGGGAATGTACTAGTATTGGCGAGGGGATTACCTGATGTGACAAGTAATTCTGGTGTTGATGTTTTCTGGGCTACTGTTACGTGACTGGAGGTTCTTGTTACTGGTGAGGTAGTGCCCTAGTCAAGGGACATGTAGTACTGGGAGGTGCTAGCATTGATGACTAAAGGTATATGGTGTTAGTTGTACTGAGAACTATTGATTCTGTGAGGGGGTACGTGTTGCGGTACGTTCAGACTCCCCGGCGACCCTTCACCTTTGGCCAGCCTCCACAGCGTCACGACCTCCGCCAAGGGGTCATCCCAAACCCTATTTCTTGTAGGGAAAGTGAAACTATATTGATTTCCTGAGGATGGTGTCTGATAAGATAATGGTACTCTTCCCCTGTAGATATATAGTGGGTTAGTAAGGTAGAGTGGGACGAGTGGGAGGTGTGTTGTATGTAGTGTTGTGTTGGTTGGAGATCATTGATAGAGTCAGGCCCCGCCGTAAAAACTGGCTTCATCACTCATTATCATGTGGGCCCCTTCCCTCTCTCCCTCCCTGCCTCCTTGTTTTTGTCTCCTACCTCCAGTAAATTCTTACACACACACACACACATACACACACACACACACACACACACATACACACACACACACACATACATACATACATACATACATACATACATACATACATGCACACGAAAATGGTTTACCCAAGTTCATCTTATTTTCTCATCCTCCTCTCATGTTATACACTTATCCTCCCTCCCTCCCCCCTCCACCTTTTACACTAGCTCCTCGCTCTGCTCATTGTTTTGTACTTCCTTTTTGGTTTAGTTCTATCTACACATTATCCAGTATGACCGAACATTTATGAATTGTTGGTAATTGTTCCTGTATTTGATGCTCTCCCCCTCTTTATTTTCACTATATTTAAATTCCACTCCGAAACCTCCTCGACTCAAATTTCTGCTTGTTTCTCTCCCTCGCTTTTTCTCACCATTCTCCTTATTTGTTCTTCCTGTTATCTTTAATTTCTTCCATATCTGCGTTTGTGTGTGTCTTCTTTCAGAGCGGTTGATAAGCACATTGGCTCCTCACCTGCACAATGTTGTAGTGATAGCCATGTTGCGCTGTGGTCACCTGAGGCCTCGCACGTAGATTACAAGGTGTGCATCATATGTGTCTTCACCACCAACTCTCTCTCTCTCTCTCTCTCTCTCTCTCTCTCTCGTACTTCCCACCTGCAACATCTTCCTCCCGCTTCTGACCCTTACCGTTTTCCTCCGTCACAATTTGTTGGCTGTCTTCCTCTCCTCCCAACACTTAACGTATCATGACTATCATCCACGTCCCATCCTCTTTTCCATGCACTTTATTCCTTTCGTTCCGGCTCGCTTCAGTTTTCTTTTCCAATTTATTATGTTTAGCTTCGCATTTTCGTCCCCCCGGCTGTAGTGTGGCGTCCCAAGCTTGTGTTGTTGTGTCGGGGGTGCAGGGAGGGGAGGAGGCCGAGTGCGCAGGGGGGCAACTGGGAGGAGTGGGTGTGAGAGTTCCCGATTCGCTCCCCATCACCCTGCGAGAGGAGAGCATCATCCAGTCCTCACTGTCATACTTACCTTGTATCACCTGTTCTCTTAACTTCTTGTCAACACTGACGTCCAGCAAAACCGGGGTTGTTGACAGACCCTTCGTGTCTTGTTCTGCTCCCTCTGACCAGCTGACTCCACACACCACCTCTCACGACTGTGATTGTGGCTGCTCACACATACACCTGTATCACCAGTGTGATGATCCTCACACATACACCTGTATCACCAGTGTGATGATCCTCACACATACACCTGTATCACCAGTGTGATGATCCTCACACATACACCTGTATCACCAGTGTGATGACCCTCGCACATATACCTGTAGTGGTCCACATTTGTACTCCTGTATTACTGGTACTGCCCTCCTCCCACACACGCACTTGTATTACCGTAAGTGACCCACACAAACATTTGTCGCATTTAGTAACTACACATAGCCCTATCTTCACAATCCCCCCCCCCTACACACCTGTACAGTATCTCCACTGGTACACATACATACATACATACATACATACATACATACATACATACATACATGTAATACATACATAATGGTTGCCCCTCGTGTTAACGAGGATGGCCGGCCCAAGGGCCACCTAGGCGTGAATTTGTTTACGGTGTAGAAGCTGTCACCAACACAACAGCCAACTGCACTGGCTAACCATTACCCTGAAACACGAACCGCAAATCGATTAACATTCAGGTCCCCAATTACTGTTGGATAGACAGAGGCAAATGGCGTAAGGAAACTTGCATACATACATACATACATATGGTACATGTATCGCTTCTGTTCGTAATAAAATAGTTTAAAATACTGCATACTGTCAGCCACAACTTTTAACTTGTTATTTTTTAATATTTTTTTCTTCCGTGCAGGGTTCACAGGACGAAACTGTGAAGTGAATATTGATGATTGTCACAACAACATATGTCAGAACGGTGCCACTTGTGTGGACCGAGTGAACACATATACTTGTGACTGTCCATCCACCTTCACTGGCCCTTACTGCACGGAGGATGTGGACGAGTGTGCCATGAGACCAACTATCTGTAAGGTGAGGCTTCTTCATCCGTCCTCCTTCGTTCTATTCTGCCAACAAAAGACATTTTATTTTGGGTGTTTGTTCTAGTCTGTATTGTTTTTATTTGTACAGTTCATCATAGTATTTGTATTACAGTATTATCATTGGCATTGTATTTATTTTACCATAGACCTTAAGACCATATCTCTGTATGTGTTTGCCACTCAAATATGTTATTTGTTTTTCTCTAAATGAAATATACAGTATATAATTAATAGTAGCTTCAAAATTTAAAGTTGCCAGATTGACAAGAATTTTTTTATGATTTTTTTTATGTATATAATTTTTTTATATAAGTTCTGGAGGTAATTATCTCTTGGTCTTTCTTCTCCTTGGCCAGTATTGAAGTTTATCTGTACAGTAGCACCTTACAATAACAAATTTTATTGAACTTTTAATGTACTGTACTATACATATTAATATTCATCTTTCTCTTCAGAATGGAGCGACATGCACAAACACCCAGGGTGGGTTCTCATGCATCTGTGTTAATGGTTGGACAGGGGATGATTGCTCTGAGAACATTGACGACTGCACAGGTGCTGCCTGCTTCAATGGTGCCACCTGTATAGACCGTGTTGGCTCCTTCCTCTGTCAGTGCACTCCAGGGAAGGTCAGTATCATATTGTCTAAAAGAATTTCCACTGCAATTGATATATAAAAAAACTGCCTTTATCTTTATTTTCTTAATTCTGTAATTTTTCACCTCCTGGCTTAAATGGTGTTCTAGCAGCATCAGCAGAGGCAACCTTTTACCCTGCTGTCTTGTTCCTCTTCCTTGTTACTAAAGAATATAAATAATAAAGAAATTTAAGTAAGGACTTGTGTAAGAGAAGTTGTAGCCATTTGGATTGTTTTAACCTATAGTGAAGACTGCCAGGTACTGTATCTTTACTTTTTATGGTGATTAGTGTTGCATTAAGAGACAGTGGTAAGACTATATTTTGTCTTGACTTATAAATACAATGGAAGGAAAGATGATTGCAATATAAATAGAGATAATTTTTTTAGGAACGAGTTAATAATTAATGAGCAATGTTAGATTTATTTAAAAGAACAGGTGGGATTTAATGATTGATTATTTAATACAAAATCAGTATAAACAGTACCCAAAGGAATGACAAGTAAAAAGCTTGTATAAAATTTAATTAAAGAAAGTTTAGAAAACTGTAGGTTGTAGTTGGTAATGTTTGGGAACCCAAGCAAGATTCACAATAACACGTACTGTAGGCAGTAATGGCTGATGAAGTATCCAACTGTCTTTTTAATGTTCCTATCATTGTCATTGTTCCCTTTTTATCTGTTGCACTTACTATTTATTCACATTACTGTACAATGATTTGTCTTTTTCTTTTTATTCATAATCATAAATGTGGTGCTATAGATTGTATCTAAGTACAAATGGATCTAAAAACAAACAGGCAACTTCATCACTTGCTGCCTAAACAGCCTCCAAACATTACACTACTTTGAATGTTATATAGTTGACATGATACAAACAGGAGCATATTATTTGCCCTTTGAACTTCAGTGATGATGCATATGAGCACATAAAAAGGAGATGAATGAAGAGATACTGGCACAGAGTTAGCATCATTTTAGAGAAAAGGAGTAACAATGTGCAGTGTGGATACAATACTGTACAGTATACTAAGCTTTCAGTATGGACAGTGCTTCCCCCAACTATAGAGTTAGGTACTCCTAGCTGGGTGCCCTGGGATTGAACCAGCAACCCAAGGACAGGAGGCAAGTGCTGTATTCATTCAGTCACTGCACCCCTTAAACTAGGTATTCAATCACATCTGAGGATATTGAGGATGCCCCTGGTGTGAACCAGTGATTCTTAGGACATGAGAGTGTTCTATTCATCTGGCCAATGCATTTCTCTAAACAAATTCTGTATTAGTAACTGGCAAATGCTCAATAGGAAAACAGTTGATCGGTTTCTTTTTAGATTGTCACCTATACTGATGTAATGAGTGTTATTGTATTTCTGTATTGTAGACTGGACTGCTATGCCATCTTGACGATGCATGTGCCAGCAACCCTTGCCACCCAGGCTCTATGTGCGACACGTCACCCATCGATGGTGGCTACATTTGCACTTGCCCACCTGGTTACAAGGGCATTGACTGCACACAGGATATAGATGAGTGTCAGGAGGGCCTCCCCTGTGAACACAATGGCACCTGTGTCAACACACCTGGATCCTTCAGGTGGGTAATGCCTCTCCATCAGACTTATATTATGGCATGCATCACTATCATTGAGAACAGATTTCATACAAATTGTTTTTATTCCTTGACTTGTGTTAACCTCTGATGTATATTTGTTTTAACAGGTGTGATTGCTCCAAGGGATTCACTGGTCCAAGGTGTGAGATCAACATCAACGAATGTGAGAGTAATCCATGTCATAACCAGGGCACTTGTCTGGATGAGCGTGGCGCCTTCCGTTGTGTGTGCATGCCAGGTAGCGTATATGCATTTGTTTTACCTTCGCTCTACAGCCACCAACACCATTGCATTCAACCAATAGTTTCTCATTACACAGTATGTACTCTTGAATTCCCTTTTCATTCTTGACAAATAACTTCTCACAGTCTCCTGGTTTTTCATTAATTGAAATTACAGAATAACTTCCTGGAAAAAAAATCAACGTTCCCACACTACTGGGAAAACTGTAAATACTAGATATCCGATTTTTGGTCTTCTAGTTTGGAAAAAAAGGGCCCAAAAAATGATTTTAGGCTGTTGTATTCAGACGTTGTGGTGAGGATTTACTCCTGAGTTCTTTAGTATGTAAAGAGTGAAAATAACAGACCAGTAAGTACTTTACACATTGATTTGCATTTTTCATTGACTTCAGAGCCAGTCATAGTCATGAAGGTGAGCCTTTATCTTTTGGTTCAGTGAAAACTAGCAGACTTAAATTTCAATTCACCTCGTAGCATGAGATACCTCTTGGGGTTTACAGATCATTACACCATTTTTTTTTTTAATCTTTAAATATTGGATTTGTTCCCTGGGTACATTATAACCCCCCACTCCCCCAACACACACACACACTCATTCCCCGATTATGTAACTATATTTTCAGCATTCCGGCTGCCATGCTCTTTCAATAAACCGTTAATTATTATTACACACACACACATGCATACACTGTATATATATATATATATATATATATATATATATATATATATATATATATATATATATATATATATATATATATATATATATATATATATATATATATATATATATATATATATATATATAAGCCTGACAGCTGGTTAAGAACAGTTCTGTTACATTCTTTGAATATTAATCCTTCATTCCCCAAGGAGGAAGTTTTGCTGTCGTTACTTCCCATTTGTAAAATTAGGTACCCAGTAAAGTTAACTATGGGTACTCTAGGCATGAACCAATAACTCCAGGTTCTGCACCCCGTTATCAATAGTAATCAGTGAGTAAATTTTTTGAAGATGTTGTGTCCAACAAAAAAGGTTGTAAAGGGCAAGGTACTGTACATACAAGGAGAGGTAGCACCACTCCCCTAAATCCCTCCAGCTATCTCTGTAATGAGTCGAAACCAGCACGAGACTGACATAATTAGAGCATTGTGCCCTCAAGAAAGTGGGGACATAAGGCAATGTGTCTCTTATTGAAGTGGAAGCATAACAAAGTTTTATGCCTCACTGAAGAGGGTATAATAAGGCAATATGCTTCTCATTAAAATGGAGGCATACCAAAGTAATGTGCCTCACTGAAGTGAGGCAATATGCCTCACTGAAGTAAGGACATAACAAGACAATAGGCCTCACAAGCGATGGTATAACAAGGTAATATATCTCACTGAAGTGAGGGTATAACTGGGCAATATGCTTCGCTGAAGTGAGGGCATAACTGGGCAATATGCCTCACTGAAGTGAGGGCATAACAGTAATATGCCTCTCACTGAAGGGAGGGAATAATAAAGTAATGTCTCATTGAAGTGAAGACAACAAAGTAATGTCTCACTGAAGTGGGGTCATGTAAACAGTTATAAAGTTGAGAATTTAGGATTAACGCAAGTTACAGTTCTGTGATACAATTAGAACTAAATAGGACAAAATCGGGTTCAGTCATGTGAAGATGAAATTTTGACTTAGTCGTTGTTATTTTTGGTTTCTACTCGCACTGTTTACATTATTACGATAAAGAAGGTCCATATGTCTTCTTTTATTTGTTAATTTAAGATGACAATGGCAAGATAGCTGTGGCACATTGGGAAATGTTACCGAGTGGAGAAGCTTCTCTCGTTTTACACGTGAGTACTGTTCCCCCAAGACGACCATGTATGGAAACTGTGGCACCCACCGCTGGCCGTAATGCTATGACAACACTCTCTGCCCTTACATTTACAGGGTAAACTGCATTATTTATTTTTATATATTTATTTCCGTTGTGAATGATCCCGGCTTACCGGTTGCTTTTGAGGTCTTAACAGCTTCGTGTTGGTGTAGATAGTGTACTGATGAGTTAATTAATAATCTTGTGACCGTGAGTTGGGGAACTGTTTTCTCTGTAAATGTATTTTAAGGATGAACTGAAACATCTAGTATAGTGAAGTGTCCCTTATTACGTGGTAACCCTGCCCAGCCTCCATCCCACATCCTCCTCACACCCGCCTCGGGCCTAGCCAATTACCCGCGACTTTACTCCCGTCTCGCTACCAGTAGACCAATCAGAAGACACGCTGGATTCAGTAAAAGTTATGATTGGTCGAGAGCGGAGGACTGCTGTTTGGTTCGAGTCATACAGACAGAGTTGGCCAATAGTATCACATGTTTACATTTACGTGAAATATGATTGGCGACTTGAAGAGCCAAAGGCCCAATGATCACAGGGCTGATTTAGTTGGTGTAATAGACAAAATTGACTATGCTGTATGTTTTCATAATGTTCGACAGAAGTTTTTGTTTTCTTACTAAGTTTCGATTTTGGTGGCGTTAGGTTTTATATGAGTATTCAAGCTACTTTGTTGGTAGTGTCGCTTAGTTGAGAATCACATTTTTTTTAGTGTATTTACACCACGTGTGTGCGTACTACTACCAGTAGGATGTTGTACATGATATGTAATACAGGTATTTGGAAAGGGTTATTCATATTGAATGATGTGAAATGAGTTGCTTCCGGCATCTATAGAAGGCAATTTCAGATCGTTGTTACTCGGCTTTGGAGCGAGATTCAGTAACTAAGGATACAACGCCCCCCATTTGCATTGCATGTTCATGAGGTGAAGATACTCATGACCTAAGAGTGACATTCCGTGTTGAACTTTAGTAAAATGCGGGAACAATTGTCACAGTAATACAACCACGTTAGATGTTTACAGCGAGTGTAGGGCGGGAGTATAGTGGCCAGTGGGTGAGGGAGGCTTTTGAGCCATGTTGTTACTGCAAGTTAGGCGGGGCAAGTCGTGACTCGCAGCCCCACGACACCCCCCCCCCCTCCTTCCTTCGCCTCCCTCTCCAACACTCCTTCACTCCACCTGTTGTGCTCTTGTTTTTCGTCTCGCCACCTTAACAAATGGTGTAAAACGCAGATTTTTGTCTTTTCATGAGCAGTGATATATGTTTTACATTCCCTATACTTGCCCCGCCTAATTTGCAGTAAACAACAATGCTCACAGCTTCCATTCCCAACCTCCCCCACCCACCCAGTATACCCCCTTTCCTATACTCATTGTAAACGTAATTGCATTAGTGACAACGGTTCCCGCATATTAAACAAGTTCAACACGGCTGTGTTTTCTATGCACAATCTTCACATGATTACGTCACCATGGAACTTTCAGTGGGAGGTCACTCAAACGTAGCTCTTACACGTGGTGAAGGACAATTCGACTACTCGTAGCGAAGAACAACCCTCCAACACGGGGTGAAGGACAACCCTCCAACACGTGGTGAAGGACAACCCTCCAACACGGGGTGAAGAACAACCCTCCAACACGGGGTGAAGGACAACCCTCCAACACGTGGTGAAGGACAACCCTCCAACTTGCTTTCAAATTTCATCGTGTGATAGCACTTTAGACGTCAGGGTTTTTAAAGAATTCCGTTAGATTTGTGTAGGATTTTCTCTTTGGTACGTGCTGCAGTACCTCATGTAGACAAAATTAAGGACTATAAACAGTATAATATTATGAACCTTGGACGAAACCACGTAAACATTGGGGTAATTCTTTGTCTTTACCTAAGTTATTTGACAAGGTGGTACACTTCATGGGAATGTCTACCACACCTTTAATGGTTTGGTGGTCGTCTGTATTTAGTACGACAAATGTTACTCCGCTTGTATACTTGATCTTCCCGTTTCATCTCAACTAGATGATTCATGGTCACCCGGGGAGGCTCCAGCAGTGACTAGTAGCTGTGCCTTTGTTTGTTTACATGTGGGTACCCATTTAACAGAGTTTATCCATTAGTAAATATTACATAAACAGATGTGTAATTGATAATTTGTGAGTGCCGTGGGGAAAACCTCTGAATCTTTGAGATGTTCATTATGTGGGAGCAGCAGACTGGTGGAGGATGACGGCAGTGTCTGCAACCTCCACTAACCTTGCTGTTGTAACTCCTGCCGCGTAACTCCTCGAACTCCCCCCTATACTGTGCCTAACACTGTGCTTCCAATACTGAATATCTGGCAAAACAAATTCACATTTCAGAGCCGCAGTACTGCAGACGGCGAACACTGAATATGCACGAAAGCTCCTAACTTTCCCTAAAACGTATGGTGATTGATATTAATATTCTTTATTCTTATACTGATAATGGATGTACAGTAAGAAAAAAGGCATTGGCGAGATGGTAGTTGGAGTAGTGCGAGACTGAGTAGGAGAGGTTAGTACGGGAAGTCGGCGTGCCCGTTTGGGAAGGAGTGGGTAGTAGGGTAGCGTTGTAGGATTTGGAGGGCAGACCTCATCTAATGTTCGTATAATTTATTATTCATTTACACTTTTCCAGGGTGCATTTCATGCGTATAGAGTAAACACAAGATAAATTAAATAGAAATAATAGCAAAATTTGGGAATGGATATTACGAAGTCTCGGGTACCATACGCAGGGCATCAGGTGGCATATCGGCGTCCAAGATCCTTTGTTCACGCTTGTGTGGGAAGAACAGGAAATACCATCATCACTTTGCGAATTCCTTATTTTATATACGATTGCTAATTCAGCATTCCATACATTAAACAATATTCTGGTGCTTAGAAATAGCTTCTGACTTTGTAAATAAAATTTATTACTGGCATCAATCATAGCCTGTGGCCACACTTTCTCAGGCACGCGACCCCAGCCCAGCGACCCGCGCCACTAAGGTTCCCCAACCCCGGCAACTCTTCTCATACCCGCCCTTACCAACTCTGCCAGAACGGCTTCACGGAACACCACCAGAATTGCTGCTTTTTTGCTCTTCTTAGAAATTCTTAAAACTACTTGTGACTGAAACGTAAAGAAAACGTAGTGTGTACTATATATATGTAGTCCAATTGATGTTGAGTTGTATTTGCTTGATAGTCTGCCACATTATCATACATGGCATATCACCAGCATATTTTTCATTAGCTTTCTATAGGTCTCTATAGGCCAAGCGGATTGTCCTGTCTGTTTATTGGTAGAAACGTCCTTCTCTTCTCTGAACAATAACTCCATTTATACTTCAGATATCTAAGCAAAACGTCATACCAAGAACCTTCGTGGGTTTGAAAAAAGTCCAACTTTAGATGTTGGGATCTATTTCAGCAGCTTCACTGTGCTCATAATGATACCAGTTGACTCACAAGTGCACAAAATGATACCAGCTAACTCACATGTGCTCATAATGATGTCAACTGATTCATTGGTGATCATAATGATGTCATCTGACTCAAGTGTTCGTAAGGACACCAGGTGTAAAATAAATAAGCTTAATAACAGAGTAACTTTGAATGAAATCGGGTGTCTCACAGGTACTCATAATAACCCCAGGCGAATCACAGGTGCGCATAAATCACCAAGTTCTTTATTAAAACACAGAGTGGACTCTCAGATACTAAATGCTGAAAATGATGCCATATGATCACAAGTGACTTACAACCTTGCAACAACTCATAGTGACATCAAGTGACTTACAGGCACTTATAGTGACATCAAGTGACTTACACTCATAGTGACATCAAGTGACTCAGGCACTCACAGTGACATCAAATGACTCAGGCACTTATAGTGACATCAAGTGACTTACAGACACTCATAGTGACATCAAGTGATTTACAGACACTCATAGTGACATCAAGTGACTCAGGCACTCATAGTGACATCAAGTGACTTACAGGCACTCATAGTGACATCAAGTGACTTACAGGCACTCATAGTGACAAAGTGACTTAAAGGCACTCAGTGACATCAAGTGACTTACAGGCACTCATGACATCTAGTGACTTACAGGCACTCATAATGACATCTAGTGACTTACAGTCATTCAGAGTGACATCAAGTGACTTACAGGCACTCATAGTGACATCAAGTAACTTACACACACTCATAGTGACATCCCAAGTGACCTACTGGTGCTCATAATGACATCAGACTTGCACTTAGTGACATCAAGTGATCTTACAGGTACTCATAATGACATCAAGTGACTTAAGGTGCTCATTGGGACATCATCTAACTTACAGGCGCTCATAGTGACATCATCTACTCACAGGTGCTCATAATGACTCCAAATGAATCGCAGAATACATGATGGTGCCATATGATTCACAGATACTCTTAGATATGCCAAGTGACTCACAGGTGCTCATAATAAGCCTATATGAGTCACAGGTGCTCAAAATGACCCCTTGTCAGCCTAAGGTTTTCAAAATGTTACCATGTGAATGACAGGTACTGATATATTAACCTTGGGATAAGTCGCTCCATTGATGTCTTAAGTTCATTATGCCAATGTCCTTCATGTCAGGTAGCATGTTTTTGTCCAAATTTTTTTAATGTATTAATACAATATTTTGCTGGTTTTGGGATTATTTCCTGATGCTGATATTCAGAGTGATTGTTTTTTGTTTATGCATGTGTAATGTTTTGTACAAGCGTAGCAATGTATTAGTAAAAAAAAATTTTTTTTTTTTGTTCCAGGATATACTGGGCAGCACTGTGAAGAAGATGTCGATGAGTGTGCCTCACACCCATGCCACAATAATGGAATATGCAGTGACCTCATAAATGAATATCGATGCAGCTGTACACAGGGTTTCACTGGACGACAGTGCCACATCAACATTGATGATTGTGCATCCGAGCCATGTCATCATGGTGGTACATGTGTGGACCGTGTGGCTGGATACAACTGTCGCTGTAGTCCTGGATTTACCGGGACGAACTGTGAGACTAACATTGATGATTGCCTCTCATCACCTTGTCGCCATGGGTCTTGTGTTGATGGAGATAACTCCTTCACCTGTATGTGTCATCCCGGTTACACTGGTTTACTTTGTCAGACAGAAATTGACGAGTGTATGTCAACTCCATGCCAACATGGAGGCGCCTGTAAGAATCTCATCAATAGTTACAAGTGCATTTGCCCCAATGGCACTGCTGGTGGTAACTGTGAATACAATATTAACGAATGTTTTAGTAATCCATGTCGCCATGGTGCCAAGTGCAAAGATGGTATCAACGAATACAGATGTGAGTGTGAACCAGGATTCACTGGAAGATTCTGTGAGACTAATATTGATGACTGTTTGTCTCAACCCTGTGCCAATGGTGGTGTTTGTATAGATCAAGTGGATGGTTTTCGCTGTCAGTGCCCTTCTGGTTACTATGATGCCCGATGCCTTTCAAATGTAAATGAATGTGCCAGTGACCCCTGTCTGAATGGTGGTTCCTGTTATGATGATGTCAACAGATTCAATTGTAAATGCCCTCCAGGATATACTGGCCACCGTTGTGAACATGAGATTGATGAATGTCAGTCTAATCCATGCCAACATGGCGGCACTTGTCATGATGCCCTTAATGCTTATACATGCTTATGTCCTCCTGGTTACTCTGGTCGCAACTGTGAATCAAATATTGATGACTGCCGAAGTCGACCTTGCAGGAATGGTGGCTCTTGTATTGATTTAGTCAATTCTTACAAGTGTGTATGTGAGCTTCCTCACACTGGACAGAACTGTGAAGTTCGAATGGATCCTTGCTCACCTAACAAGTGTCGACATGATGCCCGTTGTACACCAACAGCAAATTTTCTGGATTTTACTTGTGAGTGCGAATTAGGCTACACAGGCCGTCTCTGTGATGAGGATATAAATGAGTGCAATGTATCACCTTCACCATGCAAAAATGGTGCTACTTGCCAAAATACAAATGGATCATATTCATGTCAGTGTTCTGTTGGGTATGAAGGCCGTCAGTGTACCATTAACACAAATGACTGTGCATTACAACCATGTCTTAATGGTGGAACTTGTCTTGATGAAATTGGAAAATATACTTGTTTATGTGTTGATGGTTTTGGAGGAACCAACTGTCAACATGATCTGAACGAATGTGATTCAAACCCGTGCCAAAATGGAGCTACTTGCAATGACTATGTAAATTCTTATACATGCAGTTGCCCTTTAGGATTTTCAGGAACAAACTGTGGAATTAATGATGAAGACTGCACTGAAACATCTTGTATGAACAATGGCACCTGTATTGATAGTATAAACAACTACACCTGTGAGTGTCTTTCAGGATTTACTGGTTCTCATTGTCAACACCGCATAAATGAATGTCACTCAAATCCATGCAAAAATGGTGGTACTTGTAATGATCATGTAGGATTCTCTACTTGTCATTGTCTTTATGGCTACACAGGACAGCGATGTGAGCGTATAGTTGACTGGTGTTCTGCTTCACCCTGTTTTAATAATGGTGTATGCAAGCAGACAGAGAATCGGTATAAGTGTGAATGTCCACGTGGGTGGACAGGTTTGTTGTGCGATGTGGAGATGGTGTCTTGTGCAACAGCGGCTGCCAGTAAAGGTGTCATTCCTTCGAAACTTTGTCTTCACAATGGTAAATGTCAAGACATTGGCAATACCCATCGATGTGAATGTGATGTTGGCTATACAGGTTCCTATTGCCAGCATGAGATTAAAGAATGTGACTCCCAACCATGTATGAATGGTGCAACTTGCAATGATCACATAGGTACTTATTCCTGTTCGTGCCGCCCAGGTTTTCAAGGTCCAAACTGTGAATATAATGTTGATGACTGTAAACCAAACAACCCCTGTCAAAATGGAGGTGTGTGCCATGATCAGGTGAATGGATTTCAGTGCTCCTGCCCACATGGTACTCTTGGTAAACTGTGTGAGATTAACACCTATGACTGTTATGAAGGTGCTTGCCATAATGATGGAGAATGCATAGATAAAGTAGGTGGGTTTGAATGTCGCTGCAAACCTGGTTATGTAGGTGCAAGATGTGAAGGGGATGTAAATGAGTGTCTGTCTTTCCCATGTGTGAAAGAAGGTACTGCAGATTGTGTTCAACTTGTAAATAACTATCGATGCAATTGCTGGCCAGGATTTATGGGACGTCATTGTGAAAGCAAAAGAGATTTCTGTGCTGAATCACCTTGTCAAAATGGTGGAGTATGCAGCAATACTGATGGAGACTATTCTTGTCATTGTCCAGAAGGTTTCACTGGCAAATCTTGTGAGTTTCCAAGTGACAACTGTGCTTCAAATCCCTGTGGTCCAGGTGAAACATGCAGGCCATATGAACGAGGAATTGAATGTGTACCAAAACGTCTTCAGTCTTCCTATTGTACTCCAAATCCTTGTACACATAATGGTAGATGCCTTGATAATATATCTTATTATGAATGCCATTGTCCACCACTTTGGAATGGGAAAAGATGTGAAGTGAAGGATCATAACTTTAAAGGTGGAATTGGAAGAGCAACTGAAGCTGGTAGTAATATTACTCTTGAACGAGAGAAGTGTGAACTCTATCGCTGCCATGAAAAGAAAAATAACATGCGATGTGACCCAGAATGTAGTAGTATTGCTTGTGACTATGATGGATATGAATGCTCTTTGGGCCGTAATCCTTGGGCCTTTTGTCAAGCTGATATTGACTGTTGGCATGTTTTTGGTGATGGGGTATGTAACACACAGTGCAACAATGCTGGGTGCCTCTTTGATGGTCTGGATTGCCAGAATCCTGTGGGAACATGTAATCCTATTTATGATGCCTATTGTGCAACAAATTATGAGAATGGCCATTGTGATCAAGGTTGTAATAATGCAGAATGTGGATGGGATGGACTTGATTGTGAAATGAAACCACCTTCATTAATGTCAGAGGGACTCCAGATAGTTTTCAACACTAATGAGGCTGATTTTCGAGCCAACAAGAAGACGTTTGTAAGGAAACTAAGTAGCTCCTTGAGAATGCATCTAGTTATCAAACGTGATCAGTCGGGTGAAGAAATGATCTACCCCTTCGACAGAGATGGTATTCAGGGTCTCTTGGTGTACTTTGAAATTGATAAACGTCGATGTACAATAGAAGACCAGTGCTTTGACAGTGTTACAGATATAGCAAATTTTTTGGCTGCAAACAAGCTTCGTTTAGGAAGTGATGTTGGAATTCCAATAACTGGAGTCATTGTAGAGCCTCATCCGAACCCTCCACCTGGATACACTTATGTTATTGTTGGTATTGTATTTACCATGGTATTAGTTGGGATCATCTTCATGGTAGTTACAAACAATCGAAAGCGGTCGCGAGGTATCACCTGGTTTCCAGAGGGTTTCTTCCCTAAATATAACACAAATTCTAGTGCAAGTGCTGATCCTACAAGAAGAAAGCCAGATGGCCAAGAGATGCATAGTTTCAATAAGGGTGCATCTGTTCATCATCTAACTGACATTGGTGATACTGATGGTATGAGTAGGGGTTTGCCCATGCCAGGTCCATTAGGTGATTGGTCTGATGATGACAGTGAGCACCCACCTAGTAAACGTTCACGACATGAAGCTGGTTATTCTGACCAAACTCATCTCACTGACTATGATGATGCTAATGATCCTAGAGTCTGGACTCAACAACATCTTGATGCTGCAGATATAAAGAATCCTGATCTGTTAGCATTAACCCCACCTCAAGTAGAACCTGAAGAACAGCGTGGTATTGCTGGAGAAGTGGACCCTAAAGGACCCATGGGTCTTACTCCACTAATGATTGCATCATTCCGAGGTGGTGGTTTGGAGAGCCATACTGACGAAGATGATAAAGATGGATCAGCAGCAGTCATTCAAGAACTCATTGAGCAAGGGGCCAAGCTAAATGCCAAGATGGATCGCACAGGAGAGACCTCACTACACCTTGCTGCCAGGTTTGTAAATCTAAACTTTCCTTTTATGATAATAATGGATACATTTATAAAAACAGTATATAAGTCAAATATGGATGGTAGGAGGAAGGGGATAAGATCAAGAAAGAGTTGCAAGAATGAGATGTAGATGCACTAGAAGTGAAAGGCATTGACATTGAGTATGCAACAGTCTGCATAACTTTGTGGAAGGGGAATACCAAAACAGTGCACATTTTAAAATAAAATTGAATGAATGACAACAAATGGTAGAGAAATATGATAACTCCTTTCCAGCCACTCCACATTTAACAAAATATCTTGAAAGGACAGTCGCCACTTGAATGTTTGTGGTTTCTGAATTTCACATACGGTACAGTGTTCTCAAATTCTTTTGTTAAATTACTAGAAATATAGATATTATCTTAGAATATAATAAACAAGGCTTGGAACATTGATGACTGCTGCTCACATGAGCACTGTTACATATCAACAGTTGAAAGCCAATTTCAGTGATTAAAAGTTAAACAATAAATTACAATGAATAGTACAGGTATTGTGCATTAATATAATTTAGAAATTTTTAAGATTATATGGTTTACCCCTCTTGTGTTGCTAATGAAAATGGCTTTGTGCTGTACCAGTCTATATGGAGTATTAGCTAATAATGTAAAATGTGAATGAGAATTAACAGTTAAATGATGACTCAAGTGAGAGCTGGGTTGCATAGGGTCTGGGTCAGTGTGAGACAAATCTGCCTAAGCCAACAACCAATCAACTCTGTTGTTGTGTCTTGTGACTCTGTTGAGTTTACAGCTGAATTTAACCATTTTCCCTCTCAGTGTGCTACAGTATGGGTACAGTACTTAGAATTTTGATGGTGCATTTTTTTTTTTTTTTAATAAATTTACATTTCTAGGATCATAATGAACTATTCTGACAGTGATGTGTAGCATAGTGTGTCAGGCTATTCTCGTAAGAGACAGAAAAGTGGAACTGAGGAAAAGGCTGAAATAATACTGTACTGCAATAATAGATGGCAATTTTGTGGTTATTTAAGTTTTTAAAACTGAGGCACGCTTTCTCAAAATGTAAATTTGGTGCACTTGTCATTCACACGATGCCTTAAATATTTATTATTATTATTATCGTCAAATTCAATAAAAAAACATACCAGTAAATTTCTATAGATTATTATTACCGGATATTTAAAGTTTCAGTGTTTATTGTAGATACATGTACTGTACTTAACGTTAAAAATTTTCCTCTTATATTCCATTGTACCAAGAACCAAACACCCTTTTTTCAATTGAGCCAAAGTTTCAGTATTCATGGTTTCTGCATTTGTCATGTTTTTGTAGAAAATAACCCTCACAAAGATCAAGGGTCTACTGTATAGGATAGTTTCTATGTACCCGTTTTCTTTATTATACTGTACAGTATATCGTTTTTTGGGGGGCATATAAAACACACCCCAATTTCAGTTGGGAATATTTAAGAAAAGCTTTTAGTGAACCGTATTAAGCATGTAGGTGGTGGCCCATAAATCCATTGATTCTGCAGTTCTGGTACTACCGGTATGCTCCTTCACATAGTTTATCACCTTCAGTTTGTAGATAATAGTACAGTATAGCTTGATCTTTTCCCTCCTGTGGCCATAATGTTCTTAAAATGACAGTAAAATACCATAGACTCAATGTGTTAGCATTGTCCTTGTTGATTGTTATTACCAAGTTGTTATTGTTATGATTGTTACATGTTGTACTAAGATGTCCATACTATGGAAAGCATTGCAAAAATATGAAATGGCAACTGAATAATGTACTAGTATTACATGCTAGTGAAACTACAAATGAATGGTGATGGCTGTCGGCGCTTTTCACCGTTATCATCATAACTTCAAGTTTCCTTCATAAACTAAGGGATGTGTCCTCATAAAAATACTTTAATAAGGTAAATGTTGCAAGTATGACATTAATACAGTAGATAATAATGCTTGTAAGAGTTCAGAAACGGCTACTGATTATCTCTGAAGAGTTGGGTGCCGCATGACTGATAATAATCGTCTTGAGTTATCTAGCTTCAATATTTACAGTACAGGGGGGGTACAGTACAGTAAAAAAAAAAACATAATTAAAAGTAATAGTGATATAATAATAATAATAATAATATGTTAAAGTAAACAATAGCATTTTTATTCTGGTGTTTGACCAGGTAAATTTAGTCTACTAGAGACAGCATCTGGGGGATTCTTTAGCTTGCAGGAGACCCGCAACTTCATATATTGGACGTAGGATGATTTTTTTTTTCAGGGGGGAGGGGGGCAGTGTGTTTTATTTGCCATAAAATATGGTATGTATTGTGTACTGTATACATTAATACAATGTACTGTATTCTCTTTATAGGTATGCAAGGGCAGATGCTGCCAAGCGACTGTTAGATGCTAAAGCTGATGCTAATGCTCAGGATGCAACTGGTCGCTCACCACTACATGCTGCAGTTGCTGCTGATGCACAAGGTGTTTTCCAGGTTAGTACAAAATGTATCTTCATCTTCAAATTATAGCAGCTTGTTGCTTAAGATCATTAACGCTTCAACAGTTATCAATCTTCTCAAGTTTTTGGAGGGGTTGCACAAGATTTTGGAGATCAGCCAATAGTTTGCTTACAGACCGCAAACTGATCCCTCTGTCCTTTCATTATATATTCTACTAACTAAAGTACATTACAATACATGTACTGTATTTCACTGATATTTATAGGCTACACAAACATACAAGGGAAACTCCAGAAGGTATCATTTTCATGCATCTAAAATATAAGCATTAATAAATATGATATACGGTATAGCAAAAATTGACTGAAAAGGCAGGATACAATTGCATTTAAATGTTGTTTGAGTTCATAAACTTAGTGAAATTTATTCAGTTGAATTTGAATACAGTATCAGTATACAGTCGACCCTCGTTAATTCGGACTAATAGGGGGGGGAAGGGTGTCCGTTTTAGCCAATTGTCCGAATTAACCGATTTAGGGGTTAATATTGCATTATATTTCAAAGTCATTGTTTTCATCACGATTTTATCCCACTTTCCACTGTAATACGTACGTAATTTCAGCAAAAATATTACATTTCCGTGAATGTATTATATCAAGCACAGTATGAATAGAATATCATTGTAATATAACAGTATTTTAACTGAAAACTATTAAAAAACAAATAACATCTCAAGAACATCGAAAGCTTAGGTAAAGACTTTTGTTTTCGTCATGTATTTTATCCTATTTTACATTGAAATACATCACGTTTCAGCAAAACTACTATTTATTTCCGAGAATATATTCATTCAGGCGCAGTTTAGGTAAAATATACATGTGATGTAACAGTTTTTTAACTGAAAACGATTCGAAAAACACGTACCCTCTACCCCTGTTCAAGGAGAGGACTGGGAGAAGCTGTTTGGTGCTGCAGATGATGACAAGGAAAATGATTTGGATGGATTTTAATGAAAATATTCAGAAATATGGTATTGTAGCATTTATTCAAGTCAGTTAGGATAGAATATTATTGTAATACAACAGTTTTTTAACTGAAAACCAATCGAAAAGCGATTACGGTAACATCTTTTGAACGAAAGAAAGCAAAAGTCATTGTTTTCGTCACGATTTTATCCCACTTTCCACTGTAATACGTACTTCATTTCAGCAAAAATATTACATTTCCGTGAATGCATTACAGTGATCCCTCGGTTAACGAGCGCCTCGGTTAACGAGATTTCGCTTAACCATTTACCTTCCATAAGATTCTTAACTTCGGTTAACGAACAATCCCTCGATTAACGAGTTTTTACGAGCCAACTTCAACATGTTTTCGCTTGCATTTGGCGGTCCACCAGCTGTAGTATTAGTCCGCCAATACAATAATCTGTTTTAGGGCTTAAATTCCTTACTGTTTTAGTAAATATCAAGAAGTTTATACTATTCAATAATTTTAAAAGTTTAATATTAACTTTTTTAGTCATTTTAACGATTATTGAACATAATTGAAGGTAAAGAAACTAGTTTCTGGAATGCCATCCAGCCTGTTAACACACCAGACAGGCGTTAGTCTCTCTCTGTTTTCAGTGGAGGTAACATCTTGCTTGAGACTCTCTTCAACTAAACGCTTTTTTCTGTGTTTCCAAGGAAATTATTGGTCATTTTGAAATTTATTTTGCATATTGACAATATATAATGCAGTGCAGTGTTGATTTGAAGAAAATAATCTTGAATTACACCAAGAGAACTAAAATTTTATGGGTGAAATGGTGCCATGGGGTGACTTCTCTTCCACCCCAATGCCTTCTCTTCTCCCTTCTCCTCCACCCCCATTCTAATTCTCATCATCATCATCATCCAGGAGCCTTCTACATACACACCTCAAAGTAAGTGTACTTTTCTACCTTTTTTGTTGAATTTAGGCAATTTTCGGTGAGCTGGAACCAATTACCCAAAAACCCATTGAAACAATGGTTTCGGTTAACGAGTTTTTCGGTTAACGAGCTGGAATGGATTGTGCTCGTTAACCGAGGGACCACTATATATCAAGCACAGTATGAATAGAATACCATTGTAATATAACAGTATTTTAACCAAAAACAATTAAAAAAACGAGTAACGTCTCTTGAACATCGGAAGGTTAGGTAAAATCTTTTGTTTTCGTCATGTATTTTATCCTATTTTACATTAAAATACATCACGTTTCAGCAAAACTACTAATTATTTCCGAGAATATATTCATTCAGGCACAGTTAAGGTAAAATATACATGTGATGTAACAGATTTTTAACTGAAAACGATTCGAAAAACACGTGTACCGTCTAGCTGATACTCAAGAGCTGGTGGTGCGTCATGCGTCATTGTAAACAATAGGAGGTTGAAGTAGATTACCGGGTATTATATTAAGTGTGAAATATCGAAAAGGTTTTTATTACCGGTATTTTTTGTAGATCATGAGAACTGTGATACCGTATATGATATGATAAGTTAGCTTGTGCTAAGAACTTCAACATAGACTACTGAAAACACGTTGTAAGGTAATGTAGCCTATTGTAAGTTGGTGAGCTTCATTTGCTAAAGGAACTGCACAACTTTTCATTACTAATTGGTACATATTTTACGTTTCCATTGTTTACTGGCAGTAAATGGTAAATATTTTTCATGTCTGAAGCTAAAAGTTGCATCCCCCCCCCCCCACACTAGTGGTGGAGATGTTACATTTAACCAAAAAGACACTGGTGTTTTATCCCAGCAGTGGGTGGACCAGCATTATAGCTTAAGGTCCGCATAGGTAATATTCCTACAAATCTAAAAAAAAGAAGTTCAGATTTAGTCCGAATTATCCGAAATCCGGATTAAAAGGGTCCGAATTAACGAGGTTCGACTGTACTGTATTCTTAAAGATTGTTTAAAAAGTCAGAAGCTTAAATCAGAGGAGTTTGAAACAGCAGTGAGTCTAACATTTCTTCTTCAATTACTGAAAACCAACTACTGTAGTAACTTGTGCTCAGTGTTTCTTTGTTTGGTTGTTTGCTGTGTACAGTACAGCTATAATTTTGAAGATAGAGAGTTGAAATTTGGCAGGGAGATGGGCATGTGAGAGATAATTTGTACAAACTGTGTTGGTCAGGTCTAAAATTACTTGCGATCACAGATGCATTGCTGTATAATATTCTGGTGCTTTAGTACCATACATCTTGTGAATCTGTTAATCCAACTTGACTAACCTTATCTAGATAAAATATTTGGCAACCAGTTCTTATTACAGTACTCGAGGTAATCAAAGTGTTGTCAAAAAATGGCTTGTATGTCTCTAATGTTGTCGTAAGGGAACTTCAGTCCACCCCCATAAAATATATGTAGGTAGAAGCACACACACTTCAGTGCAACCCTTCTGTACTCTGAATTGAGGCAAGTGTTTTATATTCAGAATTGTAAGGTAGATATAAGAGGTTATGTTTAACCAATATTGTGCAATACTTGGTAGTAGGAATGATTTTTAAAATTTAGATTAGGAGTGACTGATAATAATAAACTCATCACTTTGTGTTTAATTCTACAGCTATGGTTGATGCTGTACAGTATATACATAATGTTTTTATGCTTTACTACAGTACTTTATCCAGTGCTCTACAGCATTTAGTATAATAGTTAGATTCATCTTATATCTAAATATAATGTAGCCATTGTTATGTGATGCACTAATTTATTGTTTATCATAGACTAAATAAAATATTGTGATTAACATGTGGAAATGAATGATGGACATTAGGCTGTCTTGGCTCCTGGGCTGTGAGAAACCAGTAAATGAGACTGGTTTGAAAATATAAATTTTGAATGAAAATTGACCAAACAGTGGAAGGTGATCACAAAAGAAGAGAGTGCAAGGGGATTGATGTCATGGATCTAGTTAGCAAATATAATGTTAAGAACATGCAGCAATGTATACATTTTATCTTATTTACAGATCTTGTTGCGGAACCGATCAACAGACTTGAATGCCAAAACAAATGATGGGACAACCCCTCTAATTCTTGCGGCGCGACTTGCTATTGAAGGGATGGTAGAAGACCTCATAAATGCCGATGCTGACATAAATGCTGCTGATGATTCAGGCAAAACAGCTCTGCATTGGGCTGCTTCTGTTAACAATGTAGAAGCTGTACAAATACTTCTCACTCATGGTGCCAACCGTGATGCACAGAACAACAGGGTAAGTATCAATTATGTTGGTTTTTAAAGTGATAAATAATTAGTACAGTACTCATCACCATAACATTGTATGTAGAGTATTCTGTATATATCTCTGCCATTAATTGTAGCTCACAGATTCATATGTTTAAAATAAAAACACATTGAGGACACCACAAAATTCTAAATCATGACTACAGTAAAATAACCAGAATTGTATAGTTTTATACCTGCATAAAATTACATTTCATTATAGTTTTGATCAGGTAAAAGTTGCCGAGTGGTGATTGTCCAAGGCATTCACACAATGGACAGTGCTGTTTTTAAAACAGGGCTGAATTTGTAAGAATTCACTTAATGTATTCCATGGAAATATGGATGAATGAACACAGTTGTATCACAGAATTACCCAAATTACCTTAACATGACTTTGGAAATATTACAGTATACTGTATAGCTTAACCCCTTGAGTAGAATACCAACCTATTGAGTAAGATGCCCTAACTCTTTGATTATGATGAACAAATCCATAGTCCTTATTCTAAAAGGGTTAAGTCACCTTCCTCAATGGATATGTCACTGTCATCAAGATTTATATCACCATGGTCAAGGGATGTCACCATAGTCAAGGGTTATGTCACCTTAGTCAAGGGTTATGTCACCATAGTTAAGGTTATATCACCCTAGTCAAGGGGTTATGTCACCATAGTCAAGGGTTATGTCACCTTAGTCAAGGGTTGTCACCATAGTCAAGGTTATGTCACCATAGTCAAGGGTTATGTCACCTTAGTCAAGGGGTTGTCACCAGATCAGGTTATGTCACCTTAGTCAAGGGTTATGTCCTTAATCAGGGTTATGTCGCCATAGTCAAGGGTTATGTCACCATAGTCCAAGGGTTATGTCACCTTAGTCAGGGGGTTATGTCACCATAGTCAAGGGTTATGTCGCCCTAGTCAAGGGGTTATGTTACCATAGTCAAGGGTTATGTCACCTTAGTCAAGGGGTTATGTCACCTTAATCAAGGGTTATGTCGCCCTAGTCAAGGGTTGTGTTACCATAGTCAAGGGTTATGTCACCTTAGTCAGGGTTATGTCTAATCAAGGGTTATGCCCTAGTCAAGGGTATGTTACCATAGTCAAGTTATGTCACCTTAGTCAGGGGTTATGTCACCATAGTCGAGGTTATGTCACCATAGTCAAGGGTTATGTACCTTAGTCAGGGGTTATGTCACCATAGTCAAGGGTTATGTTACCATAGTCAAGGGTTATGTCACCTTAGTCAGGGGTTATGTCACCTTAGTCAAGGGTTATGTTACCATAGTCAAGGGTTATGTCACCTTAGTCAAGGGGTTATGTCACCATAGTCAAGGGTTATGTCACCTTAGTCAAGGGGTTATGTCACCATAGTCAAGGGTTATGTCGCCCTAGTCAGGGGTTATGTTACCATAGTCAAGGGTTATGTCACCTTAGTCAGGGGTTATGTCACCTTAGTCAGGGTTATGTACCATAGTCAAGGGTTATGTCACCTTAGTCAGGGGTTATGTCACCATAGTCAGGGTTATGTCACCTTAGTCAAGGGTTATGTTACCATAGTCAAGGGTTATGTCACCATAGTCAGGGTTATGTCACCATAGTCAAGGGGTTATGTCACCTTAATCAGGGTTATGTCGCCTAGTCAGGGGTTATGTTACCATAGGAGGTTATGTCACCTTAGTCAAGGGGTTATGTCACCTTAATCAAGGGTTATGTCGCCCTAGTCAGGGGTTATGTTACCATAGTCAAGGGTTATCACCTTAGTCAAGGGGTTGTCACCATAGTCAAGGTTATGTCACCAGTCAGGTTATGTCACCATAGTCAAGGGTTATGTCGCCTAGTCAAGGGGTTATGTTACCATAGTCAGAGGTTATGTCACCTTAGTCAGGGGTTATGTCACCATAGTCAAGGGTTATAGCCTAGTCAAGGGTTATGTTACCATAGTCAAGGTTATGTCACCTTAGTCAAGGGTTATGTCACCATAGTCAAGGGTTGTCACCCTAGTCAAGGGGTTATGTTACCATAGTCAGGGTTATGTCACCTTAGTCAGGGGTTATGTCACCATAATTCAAGGGTTATGTCACCTTAGTCAGGGTTATCACCATAGTCAAAGGGTTATGTCATAGTCCAAGGGGTTATGTCACCATAGTCAAGGGTTATGTCACCCTAGTCAGTTATGTCACCTTAGTCAGGGGTTATGTCACATTAATCAAGGGTTATGTCGCCCTAGTCAGGGGTTATGTTACCATAGTCAGGGTTATGTCACCATAGTCAAGGGTTATGTCACATAGTCAGGGTTATGTCACCATAGTCAAGGGTTATGTCGCCCTAGTCAAGGGTTATGTCCTTAGTCAGGGGTTATGTGCTAATCAAGGGTTATGTCGCCCTAGTCAGGGGTTATGTTACCATAGTCAGGGGTTATGTCACCTTAGTCAAGGGGTTATGTCACCATAGTCAAGGTTATGTCACCTTAGTCAGGGGTTATGTCACCATAGTCAAGGGTTATGTCACCTTAGTCAGGGGTTATGTCACCATAGTCAGGGGTTATGTCACCTTAGTCAGGGGTTATGTTACCATAGTCGAGGGTTATGTCACCTTAGTCAAGGGGTTATGTCACCATAGTCAAGGGTTATGTCACCTTAGTCAAGGGTTATCCATAGTCGGGTTCTGTCACCTTAGTCAAGGGTTATGTCACCATAGTCAGGGGTTATGCCATAGTCAGGTTATGCCACCATAGTCAGGGGTTATGTCACCTTAGTCAAGGGTTATGTCACCATAGTCAAGGGTTATGTCACCTTAGTCAGGGTTATGTTACCCTAGTCAGGGTTATGTCACCTTAGTCAAGGGTTATGTCACATATCAAGGGTTATGTCACCTTAGTCAAGGGTTATGTCGCCTAGTCAGGGGTTATGTCACCATAGTCAAGGGTTATGTCGCCCTAGTCAAGGGGTTATGTCACCTTAGTCAAGGGTTATGTTACAGTCAAGGTTATGTCACCTTAGTCAAGGGTATGTCACCATAGTCAAGGGTTATGTCACCTTAGTCAAGGGGTTATGTCACCATAGTCAAGGGTTATGTCACCTTAGTCAAGTTATGTCACCATAGTCAAGGGGTTGTCACCATAGTCAGGTTATGCCACCATAGTCAGGGTTATGTCACCTTAGTCAAGGGTTATGTCACCATAGTCAAGGGTTATGTCACCTAGTCAAGGGGTTATGTTACCATAGTCAGGGTTTGTCACCTTAGTCAGGGGTTATGTTACAAGTCTTAGCATAGTCAAGGGTTATGTCGCCCTAGTCAGGGGTTATGTCACCATAGTCCAGGGTTATGTCGCCTAGTCAGGGTTATGTCACCATAGTCAAGGTGTTATACCCTAGTCAAGGGCTATGTTACCATAGTCGGGGTATGTCACCATAGTCAAAGGTAATTTCACCATAGTCAAGGGTTATGTCCAGCGGGTTTACCTTAGTCAGGGTTATGTCACCTTAGTCAAGGGGTTATGTCGCCATAGTCAAGGGTTATGTCACCTTAGTCAGGGTTATGTCACCATAGTCAAGGGTTATGTCACCATAGTCAGGGTTATGTCACCTTAGTCAAGGTTATGTCACCATAGTCAAGGGTTATGTCACCTTCAGGTTTACCATAGTCAAGGGTTATGTCACCTTAGTCCAAAGGTTTGTCACCATAGTCAAGGGTTATGTCACCTTAGTCAGGGATGTCACCATAGTCAAGGGTTATGTCACCATAGTCAAGGGTTATGTCCCTAGTCAAGGGATATGTCACCATAGTCAGGGTTATGTCACCATAGAGGTTATCACCATAGTCAAGGGTTATGTCACCATAGTCAAGGGTTATGTCACCTTAGTCAAGGGTTATGTCACCATAGTCCAAGGGTTATGTCACCATAGTCAAGTATGTCACCTATCAAGGGTTTGCCAGTCAGGTTATGTCACCCTAGTCAAGGTAATTTCACCATAGTCAAGGGTTATGTCACCATAGTCAAGGTTATGTCACCATAGTCCAAGGGTTATGTCGCCCATAGTCAGGGGTTATGTCACCATAGTCAAGGGTTATGTCACCTTAGTCAAGGGTTATGTCACAATCAGGGTTGTCACCCTAGTCAAGGTTATCACCATAGTCAGGTAATTCACCATAGTCAAGGGTTATGTCACCATAGTCAAGGGTTATGTCACCTTAGTCAAGGGTTATGTCACCATAGTCGGGTAATTTCACCATAGTCAAGGGTTATGTCACCATAGTCAAGGTTATGTCACCATAGTCAGGGTATGTCATAGTCAAGGGTTATGTCACCATAGTCAAGGGTTATGTCACCATAGTCAGGTTATGTCACCATAGTCAGGGTTATGTCACCATAGTCAAGGTAATTTCACCATAGTCAAGGGTTATGTCACCATAGTCAAGGGTTATGTCACCTTAGTCAAGGGTTATGTCACCATAGTCAGGTAATTTCCACCATAGTCAAGGGTTATGTCACCATAGTCAGGGTTATGTCACCTTAGTCAAGGGGTTATGTCACCATAGTCAAGGGTAATTTCACCATAGTCAGGGTTATGTCACCATAGTGGGGTATGTCACCTAGTCAAGGGTTATGTCGCCTAGTCAAGGTAATTTCACCATATCAGGGTTATGTCACCATAGTCAGGGTTATGTACATCATGTCACCTATCAAGGTTTGTCGCCCTAGTCAAAGGAGTTATGTCACCATAGTCAAGGGTTATGTCACCATAGTCAGGGTTATGTCACCATAATCCAAGGGTTATGTCACCCTAGTCAAGGGTTATGTCGCCCTAGTCGAGGGTAATTTCACCATAGTCGGGGTTATGTCACCATAGTCAAGGGTTATGTCACCATAGTCAGGGTTGTGTCACCATAGTCAGGGGTTATGTCAGCTAGTCAAGGTATTCACCATAGTCAAGGGTTATGTCACCATAGTCAGGGTTATGTCACCATAGCCAAGGGTTATGTCACCATAGTCAAGGAGTAATTTCACCATAGTCAAGGGTTATGTCACCATAGTCCGAGGTTATGTCACCTTAAGTCAAGGGTTATGTCACCATAGTCAGGTTATGTCATAGTCAAGGGTTACATAGTAGGGTTATTTCATAGTCAAGGGTTATGTCACCATAGTCAAAGGGTTATGTCACACAGTCAAGGGTTATGTCACCTTAGTCAAGGGTAATGTCACCATAGTCAAGGGTTTCACCTTCAGGGTTATGTCACCATAGTCAAAGGTTATGTCACCATAGTCAAGGGTTGTCACCATAGTCAGCGGTTATGTCACCATAGTCAAGGGTTGCTCACCATAGTCAAGGGTTATGTCACCTAGTCAAGGGGTTGTGTTACCATAGTCAAGGGATATATCACCGGTCAAGGGTTGTCACCATAGTCAAGGGTTGTGTCACCATAGTCAAGGGTTATGTCACCATAGTCGGCGGTTATGTCACCTTAGTCGGGTTATGTCACCATAGTCATGGCGGATATCACCCAAGTCAAGGGTTGTCACCATAGTCAAGGGTTATGTCACCATAGCTGCGGGTTATGTCACCATAGTCTAGGATTGTCACCATAGTCAAGGGTTATGTCACCATAGTCAAAGGTTATGTCACCATAGTCGGGTTGTCACCATAGTCAAGGGTTATGTCACCATAGTCAAGGGTTATGTCACCATAGTCAAGGGTTATGTCTCCTGAATGTTACTTAGTCATCCCTAAATGAAGTGCTGAACACCAAAATCAAGTGTCTTTTTCACAGTTAAAGATGAAATATGACAATGGATTTATACAGTATTATACCAATCTTATATATATATATATATATATATATATATATATATATATATATATATATATATATATATATATATATATATATATATATATATATATATATAAACTTATTCCTTATAATGGGTTTATGATGATCTATATAACCCTTATTTTCAAACTTGTATTTTGTTATAATTCTAATTAACCCTCTCAGCTTCAGAGCCTGAGACACATACGTGCATGGAAACTTACGCTCAACCTCGGAGGTTTTTGCCAAAAATCTATGAAAAAATATAAATTTCTATAAGGCCCATTTCACTGACATGGAATTGTTTTATTAATTATAATAGGTTTCTTCTAGTGTAAAATTGTCTGAAAAGTTGTATGAAACAAAAAAATTTAAATTCTTTAAATTTAAGCCACCTTTTTCGAGTATAAGTTGAAAAAGTAGGAAAATGTTTAGTATCATCTTGATTTCCATTCACATTTACCTTGAATTATGGTGTTCATTGATATGTATAAAGAACAAACCATGTAGAATATTGTGGTATAAGGAAAAATAATATAACACAAAAACTCATGGAATAATTAAAGGGCCGAACGGCGCACCCCCCTCTCGGTCTAATTGCCAGAGCGACACTGGCTTCATGCTGCGCTGCCACGCACACGATGACCAAGACCGTCTAGGGGAAGGTGATAAGGCCCACACAAAGAAAACGACATCTGTCAAATGGCGTCCAAAATTCAGTCAGTTTCACTGAATAGTTTTTGAGCTTAAGTTTTTTCGCCTTTTATGTTCAATGCCACAATGGCATCGTGCGAGGCTGAGAGGGTTAAAATATAATTACAATTCTAAATCAGTGACATCCTTGATTCTGAAAACTAATTAAAATATTATACCAGTATTCAACTTTAATATTCCCTCCTAGGAAAGATTTGCTACATTTTTCTTCTTTGGTCTTACAATATGCTGTTATGTTCTTGGAATGAGCATATCACTAACTGATTTTAATCACTTTTCAGGATGAAACAGCATTGTTCCTTGCTGCTAGAGAGGGAAGTTTTGAAGCCTGTAAAGTACTTTTGGACCACTTTGCCAATAGAGATATAACTGATAACATGGAGAGACTTCCAGAAGATGTTGCTAATGAGAGACTCCACCATGATATAGTACGACTCCCTGTGAACATCATCCTCGTTCCCCCCAAATGGCACAAGTGGTTACTACTTCTCATTTGGTAGCACATCAGCACAACCAACAACCTCAAAATACTATACTGTCCCAGCAGATGACCCCACAACCTGCTCAGAGGACTAACACTCAGCCAAAAGCTAAGGCTAGAAGGCCGTTCATCAGTTATGTCCCTTCCAGGGGGATCAATAAATACTCCAGTAAGTCCTGATGGCACTTCATCCATTAAACGCAGTGCCAGTGTCAAGAAGAAACGTGAAGCTAATGGGGTGCCCAGTGTAGAGTCCCAGACACAGTCATCACCTCTCAACTCCTTAGGATCACCACATGGAGTGTTTGGCTGCTACAAGCCCATTTGAGACAGGTTTGTTTACTGGTGGCATGAGTGGCCTCAATCCACACTTTACAGAAGTGGGAGTAACACAGCCTCCTCCATATGAAGACTGTGTAAAGGCAGCAGTTTCAATGAGTAACCTTCCACAAATGGGTGATCATGATAATAATCCTTTCAGCTACTCAAACATGATGGGAAATCATCAACATCAGCACCCACAGGGTCATGTGATTCACCAGAGGCAGCAGTCTATGCCAGCTTCTTTCTCCCCACAGAGTCAAACTATGTCTCCACCACACCACATGACTCCACCAAATTCATCTCCACAGCATGTACAGTCACCACATACATCAGGTCTTGTAACTTCTCCTGGTAAGATGCGACCTGCCTTACCCACTTCACCAACACACATGGCTGCATTACGGCATGCTACAGCTACATCAGGATTTGAATTCCCCTCCGGAAGTGCTGCTAGCTATACTCTTCAAGGTCAGCAACAACAGCAGCAGCAGCAGCAGCAGCAGCAGCAACAACAACAGCAACAACAACAACAACAGCAACAACAACAACAACAGCAGCAGCAGCAGCAACAGCAGCAACAACAACAGCAGCAGCAGCAACCACATCAAGGGAGTAGTGGGTTCTATCCACATTACCCAACCCCACCATCACAACACTCAGGAGTTGAGGCAACACCACAGCATAGTGTTGCACCAACTACTCATGATGCATTTCCTACACCATCCCCAGAATCGCCAGGGCAATGGTCATCTGCATCACCTAGAAGCCAGAGTGATTGGTCTGAGGGAGTGAGGTCCCCCTTGGGCCCTCCAGGGATACCCCCTCATCATCAAATTTTCCCAGTGGGTCAGCAACAACAACAGCAACAGCAAGGTCCCCCACAACCTCTGGGACTACCTTCACAGGGCTCAATCTACATCTAGATCCTGAATCTATTTTGTGCCAATAGTTCTCCAGTGTACAGTGCTGCGTGTACCATACCTGCCTGGACTAATTTTGCCCTGCTGTGTACATACCGCGTTAATAACTACCCCGATGTACTTAGCGTGCAAATGAGTACAATCAACTTTATGGACCGTGTATTTTCGGCCTAGTGAAATACGCGGGACCGTTTTGTGTACAGTGTTCAAGTGGAACAGTTTGCAATATAGTTGTAGTGGTGAGGTAAGGAGGAGTGTCTTTCATGGGTCGCTCTGTGATAGCTGTGCTCACTTATAAGCATCCTGAGCACAAAACGCATTTAAATTAATATGGCTGTATGAATTACAGTTTGCATTCATTTAACTTGTTCATTTTTTGGCATTATGAAAATTTGATATTATGAAGTTAATTATTAGGGAGAGCGCTTGCGCACATAACTTATCACGGTGGCTCTTATCAGTTTAGACAATGTTCATTATCCGTGACCACGTTAAATGTGATACGTTGTTTAGTATGTGAATTTTATGACCATGTCTTCGTTTAATTTGTTTATAATATTAATGCTATGTCAGTAGTAGCATAGAAACTTTGCAACCCGATCTCTTTAGGATATTTTAAATTATATTTTTATGTCTTTATCTATGTGAACAAAAGATTTGATCAATTTTAAAATTTCAGTTTATATATTATATTATCTTCCTTCATATAAGACATGAACAAATGTAAACCAACTTAAGGTGCTTTGTTTTAGAAAAGTACCTGTTGTAAATTACTACTCACTACTTTTTTTTTGTATTTGTAAGCATTTGTTATAATGAATGTTTGTTTGATACAGGGTGTGGGTGTTCCATGACCAAAGTGACTCAACTATATATATATATATATATATATATATATATATATATATATATATATATATATATATATATATATATATATATATATATATATATATATATATATATATATATATATATATATATATATATATATATATATATATATAATTTTTTTTTTTTTTTTTTTTTTTTAATAGTCCCTGCTTATTGTCTCCCGTTTATCATTGTTATTAATGAATTAGGGAAGAAGTCTGTTTAGCGTTGCCATGTATCGTTAAATGCTCGGGTCTGAGTATGTAAGGGTTTTGTTCGCCAAAACCTTTGCATAATTGGAATTTGCTGAAATTGCATACAGAACTCAGTTATATGGAGAAAAATGGGATGCATTCCAGAAACTTTTCTGGGCCTCCCAAACTCCAATTTTGGCCCATTTTTATAACAATAACACTGTGAAATGAAACATTAAAGACATAGTTAATGTTCTTGCACTAAAGGTGAAGAGGATACCTATACTGTACGGTAACGGTAGTGAGCCGATCAGTGGTGAAGAGGAGTAAATGACTCTTAAGACAATACTTTTTCTCACATCCATTAATTCCTTAATTTCAAAACACTTTTTAATGAATTATTACTCGACCTGAGTCTGAACAACTGTTTCTTGGGCTGCAGTTGTCTAAACTAAAAGAGGACTCCTGGAGTAATAGAACATGTTGTGTCGTCAAACTGCACGTGGGCTACATAAATGCTGCTGGATAGTCTAGGCTTTCATCAGCTGATCGTCTTATTTAAAATGCTTCTCTAAAAAAATGAAACATTAAAGGCAGTAAGGGATAGAACAAAGAATTCTTAAGACAACCAATTTTTTCATTCACAATAATTCCATTATTTCAAAACACTTTTTTAACAAATTATATCTCCTTCAGTCTAAACAACTGCTTCCTGGACTGAAATTATTCAGACTCATGGTGACTCATGTCATGTGTGAAAATTACAGCACTGAATGACTTATTGGCTCCAGTGCTTGGCTTTGATCCTAAATTTCATAAATCAATCAATGTCATGTGTGAGCAGTGGTGACTGGGTAGGCTATGCTAGCGCAGAGTGCCTGTTCCTGCTGCATGTATTGGCACGGGGGAAGTACGTTTTCATCAACTGATCGGTTATCTTTATTTGACATTTACTTGGTAAACCTTTAAAACCCATTTTATGAAACATACCTTATTAACAGTATGTAATGCTTCTTCAAGAAATGAAACATTAAAGACTTAATTAATGGATTTCTTACACCATAGGTCACAACATACTGGCTTTCACCAGCTCTCATAAGGGCAATTTTTTTAACAAAATTTGCATATATCAAGACCCGAGTATATTTTTATTGGCCATTATTTGCTACTGTGTAACTACTGTTTTGTGTTGTGGAAGACCCAAGGAGCCTCAATGGTGTGTCATATAATTTTTGCCTTGCAGAAATTACAGGATTTTGTGCATTTTGGTTAAAGTGCCCATCAAGTAACACTGCATTGCCTATTGTAAAGAAAACCAGGAAAACAAAAATCTTGGGTATCAAAATGATAGTTTTTAAGGCAGCTTAATGCTCTTGAGGAAGCTGCTTACATTGGTGTAGCTCTAGGCTTACCTCCTACCATGGTAAGATTTATTTGGGGTAATGGAAAGATTAGGGCCAGTGCTACATGTGTTAAACCCCTCAGTGCCAAGTCAGGTAATGGAAAAAATGGAAAGTCTTCCCACAGTTTGGTTGGACTACCAGAACCAGTGTAGTGTACCTCTCAGTCTGGCTAAGACAAGCTGAGGCACAATACAAGTGACCTTCATCACCCTCATTCATAAGAACAGTTTAATTTGTTTGTTTGACCTTTACTTGGTTTTAAAAAAAATTTAAGTTAAAAAATAATCATAATTTCCCAGAAACCTATGTGCTGTATATTATTTATGGGATTTTTTTTTTATGATCATTTCATTTGAATTTTTTTTTTTTTTTTTCAGAAATGCATTATAATAAACAGGACCTCCATTTATATATATATATATATATATATATATATATATATATATATATATATATATATATATATATATATATATATATATATATATATATATATATTTTGACTTGACTAGCCAAGAAGTAAATTAATGACTGCATTTATACAAATGAAATGCTTAATTTTAATGCATTAATACTCTCAATATTGGTCTATATTGCCCACACCTGAATAGCCCACAGCAGTGGGTTTTTTAATTTAAGAATGTTGTATGAGTGCAAGCATTTTGTCAGAATGTGAGTATGAAAGTAAAATATGCAAATAAATACTTGATTTTGTATATTGTTGTTTTATTTAGTTTTGAGTTATAATCATCGTGTGACTGACTGAAAATTTTAATTCTTAATACATTCACTATTTCCCTTTTCTACTGCTGGATTACTGCATAACATTGGGACTTTCCTTATTAAAATAAAAATAAAAAATTTTACATCATTAGACACTTCATTTTCTCTGACAAATTATTGTAAAGTACACCTTATATTTGTTATTAACCATTTTAATTAGACATTCTCTGTTAGGTTAAACGTTCTGTATACAGTAAGTCCTCGTTTAACGTTGCCCCCAATGATGTTTCGTCATAACGTCGCTATTCTTTAGATACCCATGATTTGGATAACGTTTAAACGATTCAGTATAACGTCGTATGTGGACTACTTTTAGCGGTGCATTTTTTGGCGTGCTACAACACTCTGGTAGACACGCTACACTATCACTCGCGGAGCATTACACAGAGTCGCCAGTCTTTGTTAGGCTTCCACAGCATTCGTGTGTGTTTAAGTGTTTTTATTCCTATTACTGTATTCTAACCATTCGAAATGGCTTTCAATTGCTAGTGATGCAAGTGTTGTGAAGAAGCAACGTAAGACCATTGGCCTTCCTTCGTAAATGGAGGTTTTAACCCATTTTGAGGAAGGTGAATGTGCTAGGACATTGCTGCTTTCTTAGATCTAACCCCCACAACAGTGCGTACTATCCGGACCAGCACGGACAAGATTAAGGCTAGTGTGGAAGTGTTACTTCTCTTGAGTGCAACAAAGACAAGTCAGATCAAGTTCCGTGATTGAAAAGCTGGAAAAGATGCTGGCTATGTGGATGGAGGACCAGAATAAATGCAATGCTCCTGTGAGCCTTGTGGTTATGCAGCATAAAGCAAAATCCTTGTTTGACGACTTATAGGCAGCAGAGGGTGAAGAATCGAAGGATGAGACCTTTACGGCCAGCCAAGGATGATTTCAAAATTTTAAGCACCGTTATAACTTCCATAGTATTAAGATGACTGGTGAAGCTGTTAGTTCAGATACAGGTGCTGAGATATTCCCGCCGGAGTTCAAAAGTATTATCGAGGAAGGAGGCTACTCAGCGAAGCAAGTCTTTAATGTGGATGAGACTGATCTCCTTTGGAAGAGGAGGCCCGAAAGAATCTATATCTCCAAGGAAGAAAAAAAGAGTGGCAAAAGACCACATGACGCTGCTGTTTGGCGCGAACACTGCTGGTTACTTCAAGCTAAAGCCTATGCTAATTTCTCGCGCTGCCAACCCACGTGCCATGAAAGGTTACTCTGAGGATTGCCTTCCTGTTATTTACAAGGCAAATAAGAAGGCATGGATAACCAGCGCCATATTTAGCCAGTGGTTAAACGTGTACGCCGTCCCTGCACTGAAGGTTTATTGTGCCAAGGAGAACCTGGACTTTAAAATTCTTCTTGTCGTTGACAGTGCTCCAGCTCATCCTCCCAGTCTCGAAAACTTACACAATGTTCGAGTTGTATGCCTGCTTTCCAACATGACAGCACTTCTGCAGCCTATGGACCAAGGCGTTATCGCCTCAATCAAGGCGTATTATTTCCGGTGTACCATGGACCAGCTGCTCAAGGCTACTGACGGAGAAAATAAACCTACGATCCGAGAATATTAGCGGGGCTTCAACATTCTTCATGCAATCGACAACATTGGCAAGTTGCCTGAATAGAGTGTGGCATAAGCTATGGCCTCAGTGTGTGAACAGTTTTACAGGATTCACAGACTTAGTCCCATCTGTGAATAGGGATATCAGCTTGGCTAGACAGGCAGGCTTTCATGAGTTGGAATCTGAAGATATTAAGCAAGTCCTGGCATCGCATACAGAAGAGCTTACTAATGAAGATCTGCAACTGCTAACAGAACTCAATGCCGCTGAAGACGACGACGAAGAACCACAACGAACGCTAAATACCAAGAGGATAACAGAAGCGTTCGACATGATCCAGCAAGGAATGCAAATCTTCATTGATGACGACCCATTTTCGTCGCCGGAAGGCAGAAGCAGCATCTTCACAACAGCCTGCAAGTGAGGAGGAGCAACCAGCAGCCGAGGAGGAGCAAACAACAGCGGAGGAACCCCAGTCAGAGCGGGAGGAGGAGCCACCCGCCGGGTCTCAGTGACTCGCCACCTTCCTCCTCTCCTCCGCTCCACTACCCACCACACACTCGCTCCACCACCTCCGCCCATCAGTGAGTACAATATGAAATGATTTAGTTTATACAGTAAACCTCGATTAACCAATTTTCGGATTAACCGCCGATCCCGGACCCCTAAAATAAATAAATAAATAAATAAATGGGCAATAAAATAAAAGTTTTGTTATTAAAGTACCTGTATTATGTTCTTTGACTTTTCCTATGATTATTCACAGTTTTTGTGCTGGTTCATATTTATTTACTAAAGTGGTTAATGTTTTAAAGCAAATGCTATTGAAATATGAATGGCAAATGAACAAAAATGAATAAAGAGACTTAAATGAGGTAGGTTAGGAAAAGGTACTTTAAAAAGGTATGATTTATATTCATAGACTTTATTTACTATTAACCAACCTTTTGGATTATCCGTCGGCCTCTTCCCCCCATATGTGGGCGGTTAATTGAGGTTTCACTTATATATATATATTATACTATTTTCTATAAAAATGCAATTGAATT